TATATATATAGACACACACACGTTTAACTTCATATTCGAAGAGGTGAATCCTAAAAAAAAAAGATTAAAAATTTGAGTGGATTGGAGAATCTATTGTCATGCCGATCAAAAAAATAATAATAGCTTTTTGTTTCCGGTGCAGTCCTGGTAAAAACGCTTATTTCAGGTTCGGTCCGGTCTAAGCCCAAAAACCAATTTTGTTAAAAAATAAAACCGAAAACCTTGTCCAGTTAAATATATTTCCAGTTCGGTTCGGTTCGGGTCCGAGTCTGGTCCCCGTTTTTTTCTGGTCCAGTCTGGTTTAACGGGTCATATGCTAATCCCTAGCAAGCACTATCCTAAGTTATTTGGTGGAGTGGATTTTGATAACAAAATCTTATTCATGTGGTGGAGAATTGTAATGCTCGGTTTAAGTATGAGTTAATTTTGTGCATGATTAAATCTATTTTTAGTTTGGGGATTTTAACTCTTCGCGGTGCAGTGGTCATTTAATGGTTGCGCTGTGGCGCCGCAATATTGACAAACCCTAGGTTTCAAAATTTAGGCCCTATTTATACCCCTCTAACTTTTCGGGTTTCTTGTCATCCAGACTCGAAACCCTAGCCCCCCTTTCCTTTCCTCCCTTCATTCTTGTAGAAGTGTGACATGTAGGGTGTTTTGAAGGAATGTCATTTTCCTTTGGAGCTTGAGTGTGTGTTTCCAAAAGAGATCCAACATATTATGTACCATTTAAACCTTTGTAAGTATTCAGCCCCTAACTTTGCAGCTTAAGCTTCCTAGATCTTGCATTTTATGGCTTTTGTGGCCCTTTTATGGTTTTGGCTGGAGTTTAAGGAAAAGTTCCAGATAAAGCTTGCAACTTTATCAATCTTGGATGTCCCTAGAGTATTTTTTGACATCCCCAATTTTCACAACCGAAAAAAAAATTATTTACGCTTTTAAAGTTCATAACATCTTTATTTGTGGATGATGATATTAGGCCCATTATCATGGTCCAGACAGCTTTGGCGCGCCAACCTTGCCTGACACTCCCTCGCCAGCCCTTGCATGGCACTCCCTTTTGGCCTTGCCTAGCACTCTCATGCCGGCCCGGCCTGGTGCTCCCTTGCCTGACACTCTCTTGCCGGCCTGGCCTTGTGCTTCCCTGCCTAACGCTCCCTTGCCAGCCTTTCCTAGTGCGTGCCCGTCAGCCTTGCCTGGTGCACGCTCGCCAGCCTCGCCCGGCGCCCCCGGGCGACCTTGCCCAACTCCTTACTAGCTAGGCCTGAATTGGGTTGGCCCAAGGCTTGACCTAATTCCCGTTGACCTAATTGTCCCCTATAAAGTGAACAATATCTCCTTCTTGGAGAGGGATCTCCTCGGCGGCTCAGTCGCCGCCCTAGAATCCGGTCAGGTGGATCAACCACCACCCTCTGCCTTCAGCCACCATCCACCACCCCAGCACCAAGATGGTTCCGTCTAACTAAGGAGAACCATCTCATCTCTACCAGCCGATCTAACTTGATCGTCAGAGCCTGCTCCTGGGGCACAGTCCCTAGCGCAGTTCTAACGGCCTTGTCTGTTGTGACCTCGCAGATTCTATCTGGCGTAGGTGGACATCCTTAGAGCTGGTGATCGGAGCCGATGTCGCATCAGTGGAAATTCCTAGTATATTACAATTTTTTAGTACAAATTATTATCTCAAATTTATAAAAACTCTAAGGATGTAATAATCGATACACAACATACGTGTAACAACGTAATTTTTCAAAACAATTTTTCATTTAAAAACATACATTCATTCACACGATAATCGTAAAAACATAATGTGTCCACTGTAACATAACAAAACATGTCCCAAGATCTCGATATCATGAACTGCATAAGTGTGTACGGATCATGTCGGCGCCTTCCCGCGATCCTCGCTAGTACCTGAAACACATCACACAACAACTGTAAGCATAACGCTTAGTGAGTTCCCCAAAATACCACATACCCCACATACGCCTTTCCAGGCCACAACTCTGTAGGATCTTCCGATCCATGTGTCTCAAGGGACTTCCGTCCCAAATCCCGGTAGACCTTCCGGTCTGTACCCTCTTGACCTTCCGGTCCTTATCATCTCGACCTTCCGGTCCTTACC